TATAGAGAGTTCTGTTATTATTATTGCTATTATTTCCGATTTTTGTTAAGTTATTTCAATTATTTTATTTATTCTCCATCATATCACATCAGGGATGAGTTTGTTTATGCAAAAAATACCGACATTCATTCGCCATGTCCTATAGACATAATATAACAATAATAATAATTATTATTATAATAATTGTAAATGTAATATAACATATATTATATTATTATATTTATATTTACACTATTTTTATTATATTTCATTATATTTATTAATATATATTATATTTATTATAATATATGTATTCATAATATTGTTGTTATTATAATAATAACAATTATTATTATTATTATAACTGATAGATGAATTATTATTATTGGGACATAATTTGAAATTATTGAAATGAATTCTTTTGGATTTAATGTACGACGAATATCTTGCAGTGAATTAATAATAAAAAATATATTTAGAGAATGATATATTTTTTGCTGTATGTACTTGATGTACTTATCCCTTGAGAAAGTCAAGAGAACGTGAATTGAAAGGTGAGAATTCGATGAATGCTGTTGGCGTAATCTTGCAGGCATTTCAACCCGTTTACGCCAATTGTGATTTAAAGCTTTATAAGTTTGCGGTTGAAATTTCCCTAGCATCCTGATAAATCCAGAACCCGTCAATTATACTGAATATATTTTTAAACATTTTTTGTAATGGAAATCCTCAGGAATTTGACCAATTGGAAATTGAGGGAGCGTTGACTAATCCCGAGAGTTATTGGTTGACACGATTGAGGATGATCTTTAAAAATATTAGGGTGTGTCGATTATTAATTCATTCCGTGGGTATTAATATCCAGTTGTTTGTGGCCAGGTGTCCCGTTGTCACTGGCGAAAAGAAATTTAACTTGAAAATTTAGAAGATTGACATCTTCTTCTTCAAATTGCACAATCGCCTTTCTCCGCGCTGTTGTCCAGATGAATGCGAATTTATGATGAGAAATTTTATTTAATGTCAACTTTCTGGATACATTATCTTGATTTTCTCCTTCAGTCTTCGCTATTGTGATATTTCTAGAATATCTTTCGAAATGAATTAACTATTGAGCGAGGGAATAGCTTTTTTTATAAATAAAAAAGCTGAATGAATAAATGATTAAAGGTTTTGTGAATAAATTGACTCGAAATTTTGGAGATAGAAGGATTCGTTTCAATGAGTTCTTCCTTAAGAAGATCGGCCCATCTTTCTATTTTTGGAAGATACAATGGCTGTTTTATCTAAATTGAAAAAAAAATATGAAGATTGAGATTCACCAGTGGATTTGAAGAAAGAACTGCAGATGCATACAGAAATAAAGAAAACGAGGGATAAAAGAAAAAGGAGGATGCAGACGGTTTGAAAAAAAGGAGTACGGGGGTGTCTGGAGGTGAAACTAAGAGCTACGAAAATACACCGAGAGCTTGGAAGAAACCAAAGACAAGATGAAGTCGTAGGCGTGCACTTAGACTTTAAGAAAGATTTGTTTCATGATGCAAAAAAAAAACACAAATGTATAAAAGAGAGCCAGCGGTAAATAAACCGAGGAGACACTCTGGAGAAGAAAAATATACATTTCCGGTGAATTTCAAATCGAGAGAAAGTCTTGAAGTATTTTTCAATGCTCATCATTAATATTTCTTGATGATAATCTGGTTGTACCACTCGGGCATTCCTAAACAGCTTTATCGTGCCACGAAAAATATTTTCTTATGACGAATGTCAAAAAAATGAACGGCTCGTTTTTCCATCAGCTCTTGGGGTATCTCTTGGTGAACACTTTTAAAGGTTTAGTAATCTTCGCGCATCAGTTTAGAAAACCTCATCGGGAGAATGTTTGAGTCACCGAGGTACTCGTCACATGGCGATTCGTAAGAACATATTATTTCCACGAAGTTTATTTATTTTGCAGAAGTGGATTCAGTAAATAAATCAAATTCTTCTATTGTTTTTCCATAATTTTCCACAATTTTTCACAATTTTTCATAACTTTCCATGATTTTCCATAATTTCTTTGCAGATATTTTTTCTTTATGTTGAGGAATTTATGATTTTTTGCCAAAGGTTTTTGATTTATTTATTTTCATTATTTTCTCAGTGCACCAATGGAAAATCCTAGTCCAAGGCCTTTACCGTCATTACCCGATAATTTTATTTTTCGATAAACACCTGGTATAAAGTAATTCACGCTTCGTTTCAGACTTTAAAGTTTTTATTTATCATTGTACAGGGTCTCAGGCATTATCTCCATTCCGTCAACTCGAGATAGCGATGGCGATAAATCAGCCTTAATCTTGAGTTGAGAATAAAAAAAAAATGAAATGTCTAGGTGTAAATTCAACCTGTTCGGATTATTGGGGCAATTGACTTTTTATTTTCGAGGTTTTTACAGTTCCGCATCAATTCCGACGACTTTCCGTTTATATTAGTCATACGTGCGATTAACTAGATAATTGGGATATTTCAGACACTTTTTGCAGGAGGAAATTACTGAAATAACGGAGTTAAAGGAATTGTCGCATGTAGCTGGAAAGAAATCAATTAAACTGTAGGGACCAAAAGGCAACTCTTACATAAGGAATGTAATTTTTTTTCCCATTAAAAATAGCAACAAATTCTTGTAATTAGACGTTTTGTAATTATCGACATTTCAATTTTCCGTTTCTGGTGGTGAATCGGATTGATAATTAATGTTTCGGAATTAAACAAAATATTTTGATGCCGAATATTTTTAACCTGCTAATTTTCTGGAGTCGCTGAATTTTTTGAAGGCTTTTTTTTAAATAATTTTTTTAGGCCAGAAGAGTATTTAAAAAAATGTTCGATACGACTCATCGAAAAATCGGTATTTATTACTGAATTGATTGTGATCTGGTTAATTGAACTGATAATTAATATTTGGAAATTAACGCGAAATTATATTGACGCCAAACAAAAATATTTGTTATTATTATTATTATACATTTGTCATAATTTTATACAATTGTATAAACAATGTCTTGCCACAGTACATGCACCGTTACACCTTCAAGTAATATTTATTTATAACTAAATTATAATTAAAGTAATAATTTATTTGAATCATTTCTCTGAAAATTTGCCAAGTTCTGGAGTTGGTGAATTTTTTAAAAGGCATTTTTTAAAATAATTTCCCTAGGCCAGGAGAGTATTGAAGAAAATGTTCGATACGACTCATCGAAGAATCATTATTTATTAGTGAATTGATTGTGATACCTAGAGTTCTATCGGTGTCTACACACGCGAGAAAACACTATACATCACGATCGAAGCTGTTTGCTATCACATAAATATACAACGTACCTTTTACTTTCACTATCAAAGGAAACACCAGTACAAACCGTTATGGCAGGGTAAGTTTATGGATCAATTACCCCACAATTACCTGTTTTGAAATTAATGTTGAATATATCTTTGTTTCGTTCACAAATTTCCGGAGAGGGATTATAATTTTCAACTGCCAGCTGTTTTCACATTGTTTTCTGTTGTTTTCATCATTTGGCAAGTTCTCTCGGTGGCCGCTATTTGAATTATTATTTTGACGTTCTCTTTGCGAAGTGGGATTCCCACGTTTATTTCAATTTTTATTTCACCAATTTGACGACCGCAGGTGATGGCATCTTTATCCTGAGGACAATGCTATTTCGGAGATTATGTGCCCTTGGGTTTATCTCGATAAGATGCGGAAAGTGGGATGATGAGTTTTTGGTGTTCATTGTAATTGCAGGATAATTGCTTTTCTTGGAAGTCGATTCATGTGGAAGGACTTCGCGGAGTAAAAGTTGTGAGTAATGAAGACGTGGAATTTTTATTGCATCATTACTCATGGATTGATGTCTCTATTTTCTGCATCCAGCTAATTTTTAATTTTTTTCCTTAACGATTTCAGAGACCGATTTTCTCCGAAATCGAATTTTCGTATCGATCACCGATTGATTTAAAATATAGGCAGATGATAATAAAACTCCCGGTACTGATGAAAAAGCATATCTTTTATTTTCAATGAGACAAAGAAGATTTCATGTGAATTTTTTAACAACTGTTGGCAATCGATTGAATTTTGAACGCGGATCGATCATTTACCGATTGTAAAGCGAGTAATTTGCTGTTTTACCAGCACTTGATAAATCTTGCGTTCCTTATCAGCGGAGGGAATCGATAATGTGGGAAAATCCTATTGCAGCTGCCAAGTCATTCTCAAGAATCGATAAGGTAGAAAATGCAAATTTTGGAAATTTCCTT